TCATTTAAATCTCCAAGATCAAACCTCCAACTACAAATTAATTCCAATTTTTATTCTTATGGCCATAGATTAACATTATCTTTATAATGAATAATGATATAAGACAAGATTAAGAAAATTTTAAAACTATTAGATTATAGTGAGAAAAAAATAATTAAGTTAAATAAATTCGAATATTTTAATTATTTAGAATTTAATATATCATAGTTCACAAAACTGAGATGTATTAAAGAATATTAACCGAGTAAATAACCATTATAAATAACATAAAATAATTAAACTTTTATAATAAAGACAAGAAATTTCATGAAATAATGTACATATATTTACAATAAGTACATATTTACAAACTATAAATTTTTTTTAACACAACTATTACAATAATTACATTGTTGGTGAAAATAAATTTACAATAGGATTAGTATGGTTGACGGGTGGTAAAAAGAAAGTTACTATAATAGGTCTATCAATAATAGTGGAGTTTTCTTGATCGGGAAAAAAATAAATGGAGATAATCCCATGCCTTGAAACGTGATAGAGTTGGTAACAACATCCACATTCCAATTCCCTCCAAGAAAGACAGCGGAAATGACAACTGTAAAAGGACTTGATATTGCGAATAGATCCATCTATTTTGTAATAAATTTAATTCAATTTCAAAACAAAAAAATAAGGAGTAAGAACAATTATCCAATAAATACCAATAGTCAAATAAATTGCATATATATATTAGTTCTTTTTGCTAAATAAAAAATTTGAATTATTCTTGTAGTGACTAGTAAAGATAAATGAGTTTTATCATAATCTCAAACAATAAAAGGATATTTCACCTTAAGTTATTTATTCATTTAAATCTCCAAGATCAAACCTCCAACTACAAATTAATTCCAATTTTTATTCTTATGGCCATAGATTAAATTTTTAGATGAAAATGAGTTCTAGAAGCTCATTAGCTGTCGGTGTTGGCTGATTTTGGCTGAGTTTTGGTGAAAAATGAATTTTTGGGGTCTTTGGGGTTTTGAGAAAATTTTGGGTTTTCCTTGATTTGTGGATGCATGTGTGAAAAGGTGGTACTTTTTAGGTGTATGATGAAAATGTGGCATTTTGGCTGGATTGCATGTGGAATTTTTGTTGATTTATGCAAGTTTTGAGCAAAATTTTCGAAGTTGGAGAGTTTTTGATTGAGAGCACGCCGGGCGTTGTTCTTGGCGCCGGGCGCGTGACCAACAGAGGGCTTCATTGGTCGAGCACGCCGGGCGCGGAGTTGTGCGCCAGGCGAGCTTGAAGATGGATGCCCCTGGATGGCTCACGTCGGGCGTGGTTGGACCACGTAGGGTGCGCTATCAGTCAGTGACCCACTCTTTTGGTTTCTGGTGTGGCGCTGGGCGTGACTATGTCTTGCCAGGCGGGGAGGCTCCTTGGGAGTCTCTGCCAGAGGTGGCGCCAGGCGCAATTTGTATTGTGCCGGGCGTGAGACCTTGGGGAGGTCTCTACTTTCTTGCGCCGAGCGCAGGATTAGCACGCCGGGCTTATGAGACCTTGTGAGGTCTCTGCCTTCCCTCACGTTGGGCGTAATAGGAATTGCGCCGGGCGCGCTGGTTCCCTGGTACTCTCTGGTTGTGCCACGCCGGGCGCGACCATGAGTGCGCCGGGCGCGTATGATGATGTTGAATTATATGTTGATAGTTGTTGACTTATGCTGAAATTGATGAGCTGAGATGTAATTGATGAATATGCTGTGCTGACTAGATGGTTATGCTGAATAATGATGTTAAGCTGTTATAGATGTATATTGCCGTGCTGTAAGCCGTTATTGCTGTATGATGAATTGCTGTTTTGTGTTGTATGCTGATATAAACTGTTGTAGGCCGTAAGGCTGAGCTGTTGTAGGCCGTAAGACTGAGCTGTTGTAGGCCGTAAGGCTGAGCTGTTATAGGCCGTAAGGCTGAGCTGTTGTAGGCTGAAAGGCTGAGCTGTTGTAGGCCATAAGGCTGAGCTGTTGTAGGAGATCTCCGAGCTGATATGCGTGACGACGCATTGTGTGTTTATTGCTGATTATGCTATATAACTGATGAGATGTATGCTGATGTTGTGCTGATAGCTGTAGCTATTCATATTACTTAAATATGTTTTACATGCTGATTCTTTACACTAGCTTACCCTTTGTTGTTTCCATGTGTTTGGACTGCGATGATCATACGTTGTATGGGAGCAGAGTAGGGTTAGGTTGGTGATAGTGGCACGTCTACAGCTGGCAGATAGAGGAGTTTTATTTTGCTGGTGTTTTGATGTTTTGGCCACTAATTTGGCTATTTTGGGCTGTATTTGTATATTCTGATGTAGCTCAGATTGGACCTTGTATATATGTATATATTCTAGACACTATATGTATATACTTGTTTTTTTCTGTGTGCATGTCGTCGTTGTTGGGTAGCGTGTGGTGACTAGCCGGGTCGTTACAGGAATGTTATATCATTTGATAAATTATTTTTTTATATTTTCAAATAAAATAATATAACGGCTGATAATTTTCATTAAATAGAATTAATATGTTGAAAAAAAATAAATTCTCAATCACTTTGAGTAAATTTAAATTTAATAATGTAAGTCAAATTTTAAAATCATATTAATAAAATCATGAATCTTATAATTAAATAATAAAATAATGATCATTCACTTTTAAAATTATATTTATGTATTATAATCATTTCATAATTATATAAATTTCTAAAATCCAGCATAATTATAGAAAAATAAAATTACAAAAAAAAGACTGCATTTAAGCGAAAAAATGTACACTTATCCTTTTATTATAATGAAAATGAAGATGAAGTGACTTATAATATTAATTTTTTAAAAAAATATTTCCATGAAAAGTATAATTTTTAAAATTATTGGTTTTAAAAAAATAAACGAGATTCATTATAATTATTAACATTATGAGTTACTAATCTAGTTTTTATTATAAAAAAAAAATTACCACAAAAGTAAATGTCACGCATATTTATAATTTTCACCTAATTGCTACTAAATTTTTATATTTAATTTATAAAATAAAATATTGTGACTATTACATCAAATATGTATTATAATTAAGGGTGTATTTTACAAGGTATTTGAGATCTTATAAATTCATTTGACCAATTTATAAATTAATTTGACCTATATTTTGAATGCGAGTTAATCTTAGAATTTATAATTTATTTTCATAAATTAATCGAAGTAAATTATTTATAAGTTATTATTATTATTTTTTATCTTTATTAATTTACTTAAATACTTTTTATTTTTTTAATTTAAAAATCATTTTACCTATATATTATTAAATAAATAAGTATTTCATTTCATTCACTCACTTTCCCTTTCGTTATTAAATAAAAAATTATTGTGATTTACCAATATAGAATGAGTTGCTATGCTACCCACTCCCCAAAATCTACATTTGCATGTTCTAGATTCACTTGGAATGCTTTTATATAACTCTATACCTTGAACTTTTGACCTCCGGTCTAAAATTTCGATCATTCCCTAGAAACAATTAGTTGTTCTCTAGCTTTCGAAATCATCCATTAAAAGCTTATGAGATGTCATTCGTAAGTTACATGTTGTTTAATTTGTCATATGATATTTAACTCAAAAGGTTAGACCTACTTGTATCACCCAATTATGAACATAAATACGTCTTTTAACTCTTTCATTCGGTTCTTCCAAGTCCCAAGTTGCTTGATATGCTACTTTTGAACTTAGTATCATTGTGTCTCTCGGTCATGAAATAAAAGTTCTTGAACTATGCAAGGGATGAAATCTCATCCCAAGCTTAAATATGAAAAATCTTTGCCCATTTATGAAGGTTTGTCTTGGTTTCTTTGACCTTATGTCCTTCACCTTTATGTCATCAACATAGTTATAAACTCCAATTCATCATTGTCATATTAGGAATCTATTTCTTTCATTCCATTTTCATCAAGCTTGTAACTATGGTCTTCATTCCTATCTTCACTTCCTTTTGAATCATAACCAATGTATTTCGACTAGGTCTCATAACTATTATCTTCAAACCTAAAACAGTTGATATAAACACTACTTTTCAAAAACCACCCTTATCATCGATGATCTCTTCAATTGTTTGTATCACACCCTTTATCATTTATCTTTATTCCACATTTTGCTTCCCCCAACCTGGTCCCAAATATACGGTTAAAATATTGAACACAACCTTTTATATTTCCAATCCTCTAGTATCCCACTTATCTATTCATCAGAATTAGACTCATTCATTATATATGTTACCCACTTGTCCTACAAAATTTAACCACTCCCCTCTTATGTGTGTTGATTTTTTCATCAATTGACTACTATACTTTATAAAGTCAATAAACACCATTGGAATCATGATTCATGACTGACATCATGTATAGATACAACTAATATCATCACAACAAAAGTCAAATGCCTCGCTCCTTTTGTAAAAACTTCAACCTTATGTCTCAGAAACACAACCCCCTACAACGTTAGCTGCCACTAATGCTTCTAAAAGATGGCAAGTGAAGCTGAATAAACCATGACAAAATTATAAACCAATGAGCACTGATTCTGCAAAATTTTTACATGGGAATATGAATCTTTTTATTCGGAAATTAACATCTAATCTGACATCAAATATGGTGGGGTTGTCAACATAGCCATTAACTGAAATTTCCGTAAGCCATGTTAGCTTGTTAAAAAGAAAATAAGAAAAAAAGAGAAGTTAAAATAACAAGAGGAATTAAAGTGTAACCATAAAATATTCTTAGAGAATAAAATTTATATATATTTTGTCATATGACACTAATTTGTCCAGTATAGAGAACAAATTATTATTTTAACCTTTAAAATAATAAGAAAACAGTAAGATTTTTAGACAAGGTCCACAATAGGGTCTAAAAAGAAAAAAGAAAAAATAGAGTACCCCTGTTCTCACTCCCCTGCATCCAGTCGTATATAAATGCATGTTGTGTTGCCCTTTAGGCTTATCTTCCTGGAAGCTACTCACTCATCACTTTCCACTTCTCAGGACCCAAAAAAAGTTTTCTTTTCTTTTTACATATTCTTTGGTAGTATTTAAGAAGGGGTATCAAATAATGGACACAAAGGTACTTTCTTCTGGAATCCACTACCCAAATCTGCCAGAAAGTTACATCCGACCCGAATCTGAGCGACCTAGACTCTCCGAAGTGTCGGAGTGCGAGGATGTTCCAATCATCGACTTGGGTTCTCAAGACAGAACCCAGATTGTGCAACAAATCGGTGAAGCCTGCAGATTCTATGGCTTTTTCCAGGCATGTTTCAACATTTTTCTCCATTTTTTTATATTATCAATTTGATATATATAAGTTGAAAAAGCCTATTGATAAATATCTTGGGAAGTTACATATTTTAGAATGATTATATAACTTGGAAATAATTAAATAGGTAATTAATCATGGGGTGGGTCTAGAAGCAATGAAGGAAATGGAAGAGGTGGCACATGGATTCTTCAAGTTGCCGGTGGAGGAGAAGCTTAAGCTGTACTCCGAGGATCCATCGAAGACAATGAGGTTGTCAACTAGTTTTAATGTGAACAAAGAAAAGGTTCATAATTGGAGGGATTATCTTAGGCTTCATTGCTATCCATTGGACAAGTATGTGCCTGAATGGCCATCTAATCCTCCTTCTTTCAAGTAAGTCACTCTTCTCTCCCTATCTCTATTTCTCTCAGCCATACATCTCTTAGTGCTGACTCAGTCTTACTAGATTCATGTTTTATACCCATGTGGTACATTTGCTTTTCTTAAAGATTTATGTCATGCAAGATGTATGTATGACGGCTCACCCACTTTATCATCTGTTTAATCTTATCTTTTTTATAATTACTTTTAATCAAAAACATTTTAATTAAGAGATATTTTCACTAGATGAGTCTTTAAGTAGTATCTTCAATCTTAATTTTACATCAAATGTATGGATGAAATTTCGATAGTTAAGATAAAAACTACACCCCTTGTCATAATTTAGTTTAAGGAAATAAATGAAAAAAATTAAATAGATAAAATTAAGATAGGTTTGTAGGTTGTTTGAAAAAAAAATATGTAAGGAAAAAATATTAAATTTTGTATTTCTTGTTGTTTCCTTGTATAAAAAGATTAAAAAAATTAATACATATAAAACTATATAAATATTTCTAATAAAAATATACAAAACGAGGATAGTTTTTTCTTTCTAATAAAAAACAAATTTCTCTTTTTATTCCATCTACTTTTGGAGAAATTAAAAAGCTTTTGGGAATCAAAGGCTTTTTTTTAATTGGCTTTCTTCCTAAAATCTTAAAAGGTGAAAATAACACTTTTATCTTCTTGTTATGTGTTTCATGTTTTTTTTTTATCTCTCTATTGTTTGTTTTATACGTATTATTAGTTTAAAATATCTTATATTATCACTCAATAAAAAAATTATAACATAATATTTAAAAGTAATTATTTTTCATTCAATAAATTTATCATATATAATAATATGTACTTAAATGATAATAATATAAAATATTTATTATATCTTTATATTTTAGGAAAATTCGTTTTATATTCTTTCTTTATTTTTTTTATAATTCGTAAGTTAATAGAAAGTATACAAATTTAAATATAATACTTTTGTTTTTAAAGGGTATATATAAAAATAAAAATGCTATTGTTGGAAAGTACAAACATAAGCTTTTTAGTTATGCATGCACGTGTCTGTTTCAACTTTCATTGTTTATCCTATTCTGTTTTGGGAAATTAATTGGCACAAATTTCATTATAGAGTACTGTGGTCCTGTCGGGGATCATATGCGTAATCAATAAAGAAAGAAATCAAACAAATAAATAAATAAAGAGATTTGATTGACTGTTTTATTTTTTATTTTTTTTGGTTACTTTTTATTTGGTAGTATTACAGATTTGGAATTTTTATTGGAAACTCGAGAACAAGGTGAAGCAAGGGAGAGAAAAAAAAAAAGAATTAATTGAACCCACATTTAAAAGTATTTTTCTAATTTAGAAAGAAAATAAAAAAAGAAAAGTATATATATATATATATATATAT